CTGGCAAAAACATGATCAGGGATCATGAAAACACAAGAAGTGCTAGGAAGAAGTGGGGTCATTTAGTAGACTGAGGAGGAATACAGCAGTCTTTGCAAAGAAAGGCTGCCTCAGAAAGGGTGGGATTTGTCTGTTTTCAGCAGTGATAGAAGCTTAAAGTGCTGTGACAGAGCTGGACATCAGACCTCAGAAAAGGTATAATTTAAAACAGTTAACCACTGGAACAGATTGCCTAGGCAATGTCAGGAGCAGCTACTGCTGGTGGTCTCTAAGAACAGGTAAAACAGGAACCTGAACAGATGCAGGTGGAGCTGATCCTACCCTACAACAGAGCTCCTATTGGCCTTATACTCCATGATTATCCTTCCACCGTCACTTAAGTTTCACTGCACTCCTCCCCTGGCCTCACCCCTTACTTCTGTATTTAGTTGAAGCCTTGGTCACCTTTGTCAAGAAAGCACATGGAATGATATAAAAAGCTCATCATTCTCTCATTTTCCAGTATTTCTAAAGATGATGAGAGAATTTTTCAGGTAATTCTCTGAAGACCTCTAATGTAAACTATTACTATGAAAATGATTAGCTCAAGCTGGTGTTCCTTTTAGCATTTGGAAAATGTTTGAATGAGATCATACTCCTATTCTGCACGTGCATTATTCTCTTTTTTCACTTGCATCTTCCTTGCATATTAGGGAACATACAGCACCCTGTGTGCATGCATACATGTGCATGTGTACATTTTAAGCACAAGAAGGTCCCATTCCTGATTAGCCTTAAAATGCCACCAAAATAAATGTTTGGTAACACATGCTTCTTAATCAAGTTGCATCAGTACACCTCACAATGCCATTTCACGGTTATGATGCAGTTGGTAATAGCTGAGATCGTACAGTATACAGAGGTGACACATTTCTTTCTAAAATAAAAGTATGAGTGAATATCTATTAGCAACACTAACTTCTATTATGTCATCAGTTTTGAAGAGGAAATGACCCCACAGATTAATGAGGAATTCTGCCTAGAAGTCAAAGGTATGACATATTCCTGTATTATTAAATAAGAGCTAGATATGATCTAACCTACTTCAAACAGCCCAGCCTTTAATAGAAAGAGAAGAGAAAAAGGCAGTGTACCAGGAGGCCATATTTATCTCTGGTGTAACACCAATGAAGCCAACAGAATTCTTTGAAGTTCAGTGTGCCTCAGAGCACCACGTGGCAAGTGCCACGGGTTATCCTGTAAACTGCAGGGTATGATGGATAGAAAAAACAATGCCATTTTCCACTCCTATTTAGGAAATATTACCCTAAGAAATAAGATACCACAGGATTGTATCTCAGAAAATGTCTGTTTGCTATTGTATAACAATTGATGTATCAATTCACTAAACAATTTTACAAATTCAAATATGAACATACTCTAGGAAGTCATCTGGAATGAAGAAATCACAAAGTTTCCTAGGAAATTCTGTTTTTTAATACTAAACATAATTATGCTGTAAATAATATAAAAGTAAAAACACAATTTTTTTAATACAACTTTATTGAAAAGCAGTCAGGAATTAAATAGGCTATACTTTATTTTTTCAAAATCCTAAAACTAGGAGATCATTTACCCATCTGATCAAGTCAGACTTACTATATTCATCCCAGAATAGAGAGAGTGGTTCCCTTATCCTTAGAGCTGACAACAAACATGATTGTGTTCCCAGACCCCCCTGAAGGTATGTTGTAAATAGACAGACATTAATAGATAATGACTGGGAACAGAGCACATAAATACCTTTTAAAAAATTAACAAACCTGGATTTCCTTGGGCATATGAGTGATAAGAAGAAATCACCTAGCATCTTTTTAGAAAATGCATCTAGAAATTTCTCATTCATAGCCTGCTTCTGGCTTTACACTCCGTGACAAGGGCCACTATTTACTTGTGATGATGAGTGGTCTCTGCTCTGGCCAAAGTTGTCAGCAACTGACAGCATTTCACATTTAACCTTTCCAAACACTGTTCAGTATCTCTAACCCAAGTTCTGCACTTCCAGAAGAACAAGACCCTTGCCAACAAACTGAGAACCGACCATTCCCAGGGAAAGGGGGCCAAGGGAGCTGTTAATTCCCCACTATTTTCAGTGCAGGTCTGTGTCACCCTGTTTACATCATGCATCATTCATCTGCTGTGATGAAATGCAACCCTGTGTTTTAAAAAAAGACCTTCGTAACAGCGAGGATACTGTATCTCTGTGAGAAGTGTTTCACATATTTTCCGTGGGCATAAACTGCTCCTGCTTCTATTTAAATGTCCATAGCTCTCTTTGGGGGACATTAATTCACTTCAGGAAGTTCATTCAGAGGGGGCTTAGCATAAGAAGAGGAAAAGCCAATATGGCAGCAGGCAGCAGCACAGCTCCTGAAGAAAAGCCGAGCGCTACTCCTGCAAAAAGGGCTGTCCATAAGATCCGAATGGCCAGCCTAGTCTTCAGCTTGGCACGAGGTTGGCAGCAGTGGGCATCTGACCACCATGTAAAGCAAGCCCAAGAGCCCTCTGGATGGGTCCCCTCTGCAGAAGACTCAGCAGCTCAGCCTGTAGAAGAAAGATCCTTCGAAAAATGCCCAATTCCATCTGACAAGAGGGACCAAGGAAAAGATGACAAAAAACATTCAGCAAATGAATCAGTGACAATAACAGACGTGGAAAAAAATTCAAGGGAATCAGATGAAGCCCTCAAAAAGTTAAGAATTAAAAGCAAAGAGGTGACCAAAACAGTTGTAAGCAAAGCCTATGAACGAGGAGGTGATGTTAGCTTCCTCAGTGAAAGGTATGAGAATAACAATAGCAGCTCAGAGATGACCAAGCTCAAAGAAGAATCAAGTGCTATTGACAAAATTCTTAATGACAAATTATCACCAAGCATAAGGAGAAAGTGTTCAAATGTGGTATCAGAGCTGACCAAGGGGTGGAAACAGATGGAACAAGAGGACAAAGAGGGGATTAAGGAAGAACTGCTGGTTAAGTGTCACAATGATAGCCTGGATACAGAGGACAGTGGCTATGGGGAAGCAGAGGACAAACTCGAGCAAGAGGACAGTGACCGAGAAGCAATGGCTGTGAGGATTAAACGACCTGTGCCATCTTTGTAAGTAAAACATCTTTATTACATTATCACGAGTTGTCAACAAACCATGGAAGAAGTACAGGTTTCCATGGGGAGAAAAAAATGGCATGAAATGGTGTAAAAGAATTTATTGCTCTTGAAGAAAATAAATTAAAAAAAAAAAAGTCCAGGAAACCTTTCACATCTCTCTCTGTGCTCAAGTAGTTAGTCAACAACATCTGATTACAGCCTTGGGTTTTAAATGCTATATAAATAATGGACACAAAGTTATATATGGGAAATGTTAATTATATTTAATTTTCACACTGCAATTACCGGTTCATTGAAATCACTACTTACTTCTTAATACTTTAGTCCATATTTCAGAATAAGAATTTTTACCTCATCAGAAGTTCAAAGCTATTCATTTATTTCAGCAAATGTTAAGTCTAAAGCAATATACTTGACAAATATTATTTCAAAATATTTATTAATTATTTTTCTTAATATAAATTGTAAATATTCTCAGGAGTAATTTGCAGAGAATGTGCAAAATAGACATTGCAGGAATTACTTTTAAGTACATCTTAACAAAAACCGGGTTCACTGCTTCTCTTTGGAAGCTTTCCATGGATTTTGAATTCATCAAGTGAAAAAATTGAAAATTTCACAGGAGTTGGGTCCCCAAACATACATCAGAAAGCATCCAGCCTGCCTTGACATCTGCAGGACTGATTTGAATCGTGCTATATGTTATAATGCTTTTCTCAAAAAAGAACATTTGAATCATCAACAGATTTTTCAAATTTAAGGCCTCTCTCTGGGTATGCTATCATAAGGGGCAGGAGGGGGAAGCACGTTCATTGAATATGTTGTGGAAGTACAAGTTTGTGACATACAGACTTCCTTATGCCTGTAAACGGTGTGAAGAAAAAGGAGGCAGAATCTATTACTTACCTACAGAGTTATTACAGGTCCTACTTAAAATTTTGAATTAAGTAGCAAATTCATAGAATCAGTTTTGAATAATACTTCTTTCAGTAAGAGGCTCATGCTTTAAGACTACTACTACATAACAGGCACATACTAAAATTTGGAGCCCAAGTAGTAAACAAGTAGCATTCAGCCATAGCCACCCAGTCCTTGCGAAGTCTCCCAGCAGAGCAGAGGAACAGCAGAGCCTGGCAGAAATTCTCGTTTCCTTTCCCAGAGACCACCAGCAGAACCACCTTTCCAGAAGACAGCTGCAAACAGTTGTGCTGTGGCCAGACTTGCCAATGGGCAGATGCCAAACTAATTCATCACCCTTTTGTTGGTAAAAGATTAGAAGATGCCTATGTCCAGTGCTGCAAGATGGGAAACTGTAGGCAGCTGTTGAGAACACAACATGCTGTTTGCTTGTCTTCTGTTTTACAAACTTAGTAATGTCCCAGAACAAAGAGAGCAGAAAGAAACACGCTGCTAAGCCTGTACTGTTTTGGTGTCAAACCTCACATCTAGCTGTAAAATTGCAACGAAGGAGAGCGCAGCCTCTGCGGCCAGGGTGCAGCGAGCCGTGGCCAAGGCACAGCCCACACGCTGCCTTCATGGCAGCTGGAGGCGAGGCAGGGCCAGGCAGGGCAAGGCATCTACCCCAGCCCGCACGGAGGGCAGAGGCTGGTGCCATGACATGGGTTCCTACCAGGAGCCATCCCGTGGTGGGGCCTGAGTCTCCACTGCTTCAACTCTGTGTCCATCACCATGAGTGTTAGCTGAGCAGGAAGCAACCTGAGACGAGAAGGCAGCATTTTCACCCAAGCAACCA